TTCGACTTTTTCAACTTGTTGATTTTATCGTCTAGAAAGGCTTTTTTTCTTTCTAGAATATCCTGAAACACATTTTGCTGGCGTATATTGCTTAAAATAAAAAAATGGAAAAATTCGCAATTCTTAAAAAAAAAAACAATTTTCGAATTTTTTAAGTTGTTGCTTTTATAGTCTAGAAAGCCTTTTTTTCTTTCTAGAATATCTTGAAACACATTTTCCTGGCCTATTTTGCTTAAAAGTAGAAAATGGAGAAATTGCCAATTTTTGACAGAAACGCTGTTCTAGATAAAAAAAAAAGATGCCTTTCTTTGTTATAAAAATGTTCTTTATTTAAATCCCAAACATTGCATTTTCCCAAAAGGGTTAACCCATGATTTGGGTCAAAAAATCCCATAATTTTTTATTTAAATTTTGGTTTGAAATAGAGCAGAATTTAGACAAAATGCTGTTCTGGATAAAAAAAAAGCCTGTCTTTACTAAAAAATATCGGATTTTTCCAAGGGGTTAACCCATCATTTTTGTGGAAGTCCCAAAAATTATCACAACAGCCGAGTCAACTTGAGCAAGCGTTTATGTGAGTTAAGTTGACCCCTTCATGCAACTTTGCTTTGACTGAGTGTTTATATACAGAAATGTTGGCCCATGTAGGAGGATGACTCCACCATCACAAAAAGGTGACTCAGCTAGGCAGGTCACCCTTCTAGGCAAGCCACGTTTTCAAAGGAATTTTATGAAAAGTTGACTGGCCCAGTGTTGTTTTGGTAGGGGGTATCAACATTTCTCCGAATAGATGAGGCCTTAAGAACTTAATAAATATCCTTTAGAATTGAAATAATGAGAACTGAATTGAATACTAGACCTTTCCCGTATTCCGCACCAGTGAGCAAACATAAAAAAATGAGGTCGAGGCTCGGGCTGACAATTTCATACAAATCACTGTATTATGTCTACCTGGGCCTCGACAATTATGCCTTTGTTGACAGGAAAGTGGGAAAGGTCTCTTAGGTAAGGTATTTTTGACATCACAACCTTGTAACGTTTTATCCAGTTAAGTGTTACAATCCACATAAAAAGTGGCGCATTTGAATATATTTATATAGATATTCACACCTTATAAGTTTTGAAATTAAATTAATTAAATTAAATTAAAAAGTGCAACCCTTCAGGTTAATACACTTGTAGTAGTCAAACCTCTAGAATGATGAGTATATTTTAATTTAGGGTTGTTGGGACCCTAAATACTGCTTGCTGCCTTCCACTTTGGAAACTCTTTTGTTACCCAACTTTCATCTGTCTATGTCGTTTTCAAAAACTGTTAGCACCGGTTGAATTGTTCTTCTCTACGTAGGGGACTGGTCAGCATTTATTGCCGGGGGGGGGAGGATTTGGGGCTAAACAAGGTGAAATTTAGCCAATCCCCCCTTTGAATGTTACTTCGCTGAAGTGATCCCCCCTAATAACTTTTGATTACTTTCACGATCCCCCCCTGTCTTCATTTTTCAAGCAAATTTGAGTGATCACCCTCTGAATCCTTCCAAAGTTTTCAGCGATCCTCCCTTTTGGGTTCTCAGTTATGACCGATTCCCATTTTTATTCTCCTAAAAAATCTAGTGATCCCACCTAAAATCCTTCCCCCCACCAAGCGATAAATAAAGACTGGTCCCTAAAAGGCAAAAATGAATTTAAGCCACGCCCCCCTCCCCATCAAAAAAGGAAAAAAGATTATTGCATTTGTAGTGTTCTGAAACTTTCGTCACCAGTACCACCGTGAAATTATTGGGACGACCTCTGAATTTTCGGGTTCATTTAAATCAAACAATCACGGGTACTACGCTCATCAGTAATGCGGATGGAAGGAGGAAGAGTGCAGTTTTCCTTATGAAAATTTAAAATGAAAGAAAAGAAAAACGCAAAAAGGTTAAGCAGTCGAAATAGTTTTAGTGACACATATTTTATATACACATATTCACATATTTTATTAGGTCTATTTCTTATTGCAACAGCATTTCTGATGAACAAACTTATTATATACAAAAGCAGAACTAGTTAGAAAGGCTACACGAACGACACACCATATTAAAGTGCATTATTTAACAATTAATGAATGAGGCTGAGTATCTTGTGAATAATTATGGAGATCGAAGAGGGTGTTATCCAGCCGAGGCGGATAACACCCTCCGAGATCTCCATAATTCTTCATATGGTACGAAAGCCGAATTCAATAATCGTTTTATTATTCATTCAAAATAATTCCTAGTTTAAAAACATTGCTAAAACATGCTTACCTCCATCGATCCTTCGATAGTGCACGTTTAGGTTTGTCCAGCTCCACCAATATTCTCCAAATAGTAGATGTCGCGCGCGCCCTTTGTGTTGTCTTCTTGCGGTTCTTGCCATCTTTTTAGCTATTTTTTCGCTAGTTCTTACTCTTGAAGCGAGTGAAATGTCAACCATTTTTTGTTTTCACAACCTCTCGGTTAACAGAGCCTTAACCTGCACGAACAGTGCATTTTTGACGTCATTTCCTCGTTAAACACAAAATTCTTCCAAATTTGGTCATCAGAAACTGGTTATGGTGAATTATGCGTGTGCTTTTAGCCAATCAGAATCGGGGAAATATTTTGAATGAATAATAATATGTATGTAATAACGTTACAAGTACGACTTGCTCTATTAGGAATTTGATTGAGTTAACACTTAGTTTTAAAATTATAACATCAAACTTATTGTATGATAAAAATCACTACATACGGCGGTATTCCAAACGCTGAACGAGGCACTGGGGGTAGGTGGATGGGGGGGGGGGGG